AGCTGCTCTAGGACGAATTCCAGAATCATCCGCAAGTTCAATTTCAATCGCTTGTATTTCAGAAATTTTTCTCTGTGACGGCAACAAGTGGCTAGTTTCCGGTGGATGAAGTACATGATTGTGTTCGGATACAAAATCATGAACTTGATATTTCCATGTAAATCTAATTAATATAATACCAATGCGGACCTTGCATCCGGTTCTTCTTTCAGCTCGAGAATTGGTTGTCAAGTGGTCTCGCTTGTCAGGTTGACGGAAACCCTCTTTTGAACAAACAAATCTCCTAGAAGTTACCTGTCCATCCTTGCTCCTGTTCTCATAATGCTTACGAACGTTAAATCCCATCTTCCCTCCATATTGTAACCAAAAATTCCAAGCATCCTCCACCGAATCAAATTCCATGCCTACCCGAGGAACCCAATTTTCTACTTCGTCGTTACTATCGGCCATTCTAAGACAAATAAATTTTATTGTAGCTATTAGTATGAATCATTAAAGATCATCAATCAAATTATAAATAATTTAAAGTGTAAAAATAAAAAAGATATCAAAAAACTGATTTTTTCAATTGAAATATAAATTAAAATAGGGCATATATTGGAGCAATTTCATCTTACTTGCATATACGAAATCACAAATTGTAGACTTCTTGATCAAATGTTGCGCCTTGAATTATTGTTAATGGTAGATGATTGTTGCACTAATTTTTTTAATGGGTATATTTATAGATTTAAAATATGAGGAAGCAAATAAAAAAATTGCTTAACAATGGCGTGAAGATTACGATCATAGCAGTAAATATTTTGGTGGGAAAATAAGATGAATATTTGGTGGGAAAAGAAGCAGCTAAGAAATTTAGGCGCCTACTTTGGTAACTGCTAATTGCCTTTTTTTTTTTTTTTTTAATATTTTAATAAAGTTAGTGGAGGGTTGAAGTCTATCAACCGTTGATATATATGGAGGGCTGTGATAAGCCCAACTCTATATGGTAGAGTTTCCTCCAACTCTAGAGGATCCGGACGCTATATATATATATATGTATATATATGTATATATATATATATATATATATATATATATATATATATATATATATATATATATATATATATATATATATATATATATATATATATATATATATATATATATATATATGAACTCCATTTCAATGAATCGTATTACTCGATAACATATCAATATGTACTATTGAACTCTAAATCGTTAAGCAATTTACACGGAGAGATGCTAATATATATTTTCATATAAGCCAATAACTCATGAACAAAAGTAATAGGGAGACATGAATATAATTGATACTTACAGAACTATGTCGACAATATGTGAATTTCTTAGTGGCCTCCTCAAATCAATTGTTTTATTAATCTGCTCAATTGGCTAGAGTTTGGTGCTGATAACGTGTTGTGAAAATAAGGAAAAATATCAGGAATTAAGGGAGAATTAATCTGTTCATATTATTCCATATGATTGGGGTATATATACATAAAATATTATAAGTAGGGTTTGCTTAGATAAGAATAAACCCTAGATCTAGAATATTCTGGAAACATACAAAGAGGATAATGGATATCCACACAATATTTTCATAACACATACAAATTAAAGTACATGAGCCAAAAAAAAAAAAAAAACTATTCCCTCCTTGATCTAAGGGATTGATTTGTTATTTATATCCTTAATTGATTCATGAAAATTATTTACTTTTTATATACCAATAGAATACTTTTGGTGAATAGAATTTCATTTTTTTTTTTTGTTAAGATAAAGAAATTGAATTTATATAGAGAGAAACCATGGTAAAATTTGAATTTCAAAGTGATTCAATGTTATAATAGAGTTGATTTTATCGTTCCAATATAATATCTTAACGATGTAATTGATTAATTTCATTGTTGAGAGAATTTTTTCCAATTTTCATGCTATTTTCCGAGGTTGAAGATGATGTTCTTCATATTATATGCTAAATGTTCTTTTATCAATTATTGGAAACATATTCTTTTTTTTTATTGGAATGGAATATGTTCTTTGAATCTGATCAATATGTTCTCGGTATATAAACTATATGTTCTTTACATTATAAACAATGTACTTTAATATATGTAGATTAAAAATGCTCATTGTTGGGTTTCAATAATACAAATCATTTTTTAAGTTAGATAATATGTTATTCTATATTAATATGTGTTTGCTTTAAACCTTATACTCTGTATTATTTTGGGTATTATGTTTTTTTTTTTTTTTTTTGTAATCATTGTGCTCTCTTGTTTTATCCTTCTATTTTTATTTTTTTTTTATTTTTTTTGGTAACGATGAAAAAATATGATTAATTTTTGCACATATTTTATTTTAAAATAAAATTGAAATAAAGTATATTGAAAATGAAATTTTGAATTTTTGAAATTTGAAAATGAAACCTATAATTATTTTGGTAGAAAATAATCTTAGCTAGAGAAATTTTGGAAACTCAATTTTTTGAAATGATTTGACATTAAATGCATGGTAAAAATAAATTAATAACTATCTATTACCTTTTTTCCTTTTTAAAAATTAGTTTCTCAAAACTTATCATGTTATTTATATTTCAATGATGTGTTCTTTTATAATTTAATGATGTTCTTTACATTTATAAGCTATGTTCTTTCTGCTTAATCCGGTGTACCATGCGCATGGTACACCCTAGTGTACAAACCAACATTGGATGCATGGCAAGTCTCCACAAATCACAAAATACATCTAAGTAAAGAAATATTTGTTACTATTGTCATTGGTCAAAACGTGTCAACTAAAAAGGAATACTGAAAAAATTATTTTACTACCATGGTACACTTCTTCGATTTAGGAAACTCCATGTAGAAAAACAAAGCATGACTTAATTACTTTGAATCCAACCAAGTGAGGATATTTAGATGGAAATTTTCCTTATATCACACCATACTTTTAAGTGTGTAATCAACAAATCAATCATCAATAACTATATACTAAAAGACACACCAACAATAACACGTGTCATTTTCTGGTGTGTCCTTACTCTTTTTTTTTTTGAAACAATCTATATAAGAAACAAATTAAATCTTTCTACATACTACCTCCGTTACAGGTTATGTGCAACGATTTGACATAAAGCAAAGAGAGAAAATGTCTAATCGTTGCACATAACCTGTAACAGATGTAGTATAAGTAATAATTACATATAAAGTATAATAGAATATTTGATGTAGCTTTTCTTGATTTATTTTTTTAATTATGTTATAGAAGCTACAAGATTAAATAATGAAATACAAATATCTAATCAACAAATGATACTTTTGTCATTTCCTTGAACAATTTATGGTTAGAATTTGATATGAATATAACATACGAAAGTAAAAAAAAAAAAAATTAATGTAATGTTAATTTTAAAAACAATTTTTAAAAATTACCGTGCATGGCACGAGATCTAACCTAGTAGCATATGTGTTGGGATAAGCTTTAAGCTTTAAATTGTAGCTTTGATCCTAATGTGTATTTTTTTTTTTTTTTTTTTTTTTTTTTGGGTACAAACCTAATGTGTAAGAGTATGTATCCTAAATAATTAGTTTGTGTTAGTGAAGTTACAAAAGTAGTGGTTACTGGTTAGTGGATTAACAATAGGCATGATTTAATTATTATGAGATCATGAACCTTATTTTTAACTTATGTTTTATCTACCCTCACTTCCAAAGATAGAATAAGGGCATGCTCACATTTACTTAATTTCAGTTCAGTTCAGTTTAGCTCTAATCAGTTCAGTTCAGCTCCTAATTTCCCTCTCTCATAAAATATTCAGTTCAGTTCAGTTCAGTTCAGCTCCAATCAGTTCAGTTCAGCTTAATTCAGTAAATGTGAACATACCCTAAGTAAAAGAAAGTAAAGATTAAAAAAATAAAAAATAAAAAATAAAATAAAAGTGTATTACATTATCTAAGGGTTGAACCTTCATACCCTTTTCTTCATGGCAGTTAAACTCACGCGGACATAGTGGCAAAGTAATATTCTTGGGAGAGTATGCTATTAAGAAGCCGTCATGAACCTTCATCAAACAATTGAGAGTTTCATATAACGGGGCGCAACACTTTGTTATTAGTTAATAGTTATCCTTTTGGTAAGCGGTCATCATAAAACAAATTATAAATAATCATGAATTTGTGTGTAACATTTTAAGAAAAGCCTACTACGTATATTCATTATATTATGATAATGCAAGATAAATTACTTGATTTTTTATGAACTGAAATATATTATTTATATTGAAATAAAATTATATTAAATTATTTTTACGGAATTGAATTATTTTTTTTTTTTCTGATTAAAAACTTAATTTTATTAATTCTTTTTTACATTAAAAATAAACATTATTAACGGACCATCCATCTATCAAACAGGTGGTTAAGTTAAATTGACAATGTTAATCTAAAAAAAATAAGGGTAATGTTATCTGTAACCCTAACGGCTATATATAAGCATTATATATACTATTGAAAATTGTATAAAATTAGAAATTCATGACAAAAACACGCGTAAATCAGTGTTATTAGTGTTTATATTTTGATGATTTCTTAACATTTTACGATTTTCAAGTGTAAATTTAATGTTTATATGTAGCCCTAAAGGCTATGTATAACATTTTCCAAAAAAGTAATACTACGGAGTACTACTCCGTCCCATAATACAATGTCTCTTTTTAACATTTATTCCTCACATAATAAATAGAAAGAGACATTGTATTAAGGGACGGAGGGAGTATTATTTTATTAACTCCAAGAAACAACTACCATGGGTCCATAGTAATGATATACTTTTAATTCTTTCTACTCATTTGATCAAATTAATAGGAATAGATAATTGGAAGGATTAAGAAAGGTCACAAAGGCCAATAATTAGTCATACTTGAAACACAAATAATAAAAATTTTTGATTACAAATAAACAATCAAATAAACTACAAAAGTGTTTGAGTGGGTATTGACTATATAAACCGAGGAACATGCATCAGTCACACAATCACATTCTTATCTTCCTTTGCTTAACTCAAATTATCATCATTAGTAACCCATAACTATTCATTATTCTAAGCACCTTCTTAACCCCTTAATTAGTCCGTGAATAACAAATTAAACCTTCTAATAAAAACATAAAACTACACAGCAATGTTTAAAAGCAAAAGCAGCAAAACCACCCCTCAACAACAAGAAGGGGCCAATCCACCCATCAAGTTTCTAGGCGTTCGACGACGTCCATGGGGCCGTTACGCGGCAGAGATACGAGATCCTTCCACGAAAGAGCGACATTGGCTAGGAACATTCGATACAGCTGAGGAAGCTGCATTGGCTTACGATAGAGCGTCTCGGTCCATGCGAGGCCCTCGTGGTCGGACCAACTTTGTCTACTCAGACATGCCTCCTGGCTCCTCTGTTACGTCCATCATGTCTCCTGATGAACAACATCAAAACCACAACCACGAGAAGGTTCAGAACCACACTCATCAGCCGGAGTTTTCGCTTTCGACTAGTAATGACTACGGCTACACGGCGGTTTCGAATGCGCAGTTTTGGTCGTCTTCTTCTTCATCATCATACCAGGATAATAATGCTACATTATATAGCTTTAATACTGGTACTAATGATGATACTAATAGTTATATTATTAATAATAATGATGGGTATTATGGTAATAGTAATGATGTAGAGTTACCACCTTTACCTGATCAGTTTACTGGTGAGTTGGGCCAGGGTTCTTGGGCTGACCCGACAGTTGGTGCGGATTATATGGGCTTTGACTCGACTAATGCAGGCTATGTACATAGCCCATTGTTTAGTTCTATGCCTCCTGTTGACCATGGGCTTGACCCATTCAATCTGGGCTCGTCTTCTTATTTCTTTTAAAATTGTTTCTGAAAAAAAAAAAACAAAACAAAAAAAAAACTTTAACTCACCCATTAATTGCATAATTATTTGCGGTGAAACATTTCTTCTAGAATGTCGGTGTAATTATGACTCTTGTATGATTTAAAGTCTTATTTTTTTTTATTTTTTTTTAATCTTTTTTATTACTTGGATTTGGGCCTTTAGATGCCTCTCAGGAGTCAAATTGGATTTGGATTCTAGAGTAGAGCATATTTTATATCACATTATGTACTTAAATATAATTTCTTTTCTTTTAATTTTTTTAATGTAATTGTAATCAATTGGAGTTGTTGAGTTTAATGTAACTTATGTTTTTCCATCTTACTACAAGATTGTACTAGTATAACATTTACGTATATGTAATACAATTGAGACTTAAGAGAATTCAGTTTAAGTTCATTTATTTATTTATTTATTTATTTTTAAGTGCTAGTAGATAGTTAAATTGTGCCTTCTAATTTGAAAGGTATAGTGTGATTTAGTGATTAAATTAATAGTACATGTTGTATTTTTTTTTTTAAAAAAACACAGAAAGTAGTATAGATTACTTGGGCAAAGCCCTATAAATATTACAACCTAAGATTCAAAGAAAAGCTCATATCCAAATTGCGTTCTTTGAATATGCAGTGCCAAAATTGAGTGCAACTAGGCCCATAGCTCCTATATGTTAACAAAACATATAGGATGGTAAAATTGTAAATTTGACAAGCTTTTGGAAAAAGTTCACATTACAATGGTACATTATAATATATCATTATGTACCATTATGCATGTATAAAGTACTATTAAAATATAAATTGTCTGAATAGTACTTTTTGTGTACTATTATGCATGTAGTGGTACTTTTTACCATCATATACGTTGAATATTTTCCCCCAAAATATTTACCACCTATCACCTATTATACATGTAATAGTACATTCTTCATCATATATGTTTGTTAAACCCATAGGAACTATGCGCTAAGGTTAATCGCCAAAATTAGCAAACTAGACAGCGAATAAGATAGTTTATATTACAACTTCCAAGGACTTCACATCTGAAAAAGAGAAAGCTAGGTAGTGCGAGCAGCAGCACTTGTATTGACTACCATACTCATATTATTGAGTAGAATAGTACATGTTGTATTACATGCATGAGTTTGAGAATGTGATAATTGAAGTATGGCTTAACCCATTTATTTAGCCTAAACTTTTAGGAAACCTTTCATTAATTCACCATTGCCTAATCCAATATTCTCCTATTTTCGTAGCCTGCTTTTTCTTTGAGCCCACTTCCTAATACACTATTTAGCCCAAATTGACATCTAATTTGGTTCTCTTGTCCCGCGGAATAGTGCAATGATGAAACATAAACCACTTCTTCACTAGATTAACCTTGTGCGATGTACGGTTTTAAAATAAGAATTGAATTATATACTTTTTAAATGTAATGAAAGAAAATAACTTCCTTATTTAGACCTAACTAATTTCTAATTAAATATGAATATACAATTCCCGAAAGTGCATAATTTTCATATTTAATTCAGAAATTTCAATTAAATTATATTATTAACTATTCTTAACAATTCGTAATAACTAAATAGCATAATATGTGTAGAAAACTCAAAATTTAAAATTTAAAAATTCAAATGAAATATGTTTTCAAAACTATGTTCAATAGGTAGCTTTAAAAGGAAAAAAAATATGACATCATCCTTGTATTTTGGAGGGAAAAAAGTAAATAAAAAGTGACACGTAGGCCATAATAACATCAACGGTTGTTATTTTAGTATATACTAGATTAAGCTCGTGCGATACACGATTTTTACAATAATTTTGTTTGCTTATTTGTGCATAATATGTAATTGTAGAATAATAAAAGTGAAATATGATAAAAAAAATTACGGAGTAAACAATAGTGAAAACCTCAAATTCATATAATTTACACGGTATATTGTTTATAAGAATATAAACTATATTTATTACTGCGTATTATTTGGTGGAAAGATAATGTTTATAGGAATATGAAATAGTCCAACCACTTTTTTTTTACTCCATTTGAAGTAGTGTAGTTTTTCAATTTAAATATAAAAAATCTTTTAGAAAATGTATAATTAATTTACCATTTTCAATAAAATAAAATAAAATAATGATGTCATTAATAGTTTAAGCGGGATAATTTTTTATGAGAGATTGACATATGGATATTAATGATGTCAACGGTGATTACTTTAGTTATAGTTATACTTATAGATATGGATGGATAGACCACGGTTTGTTTGAATTTTTTAAAATAATTTTTTTATATATATATATTTATGTGTTAAAAATTTTTTTATATAACTTTGATAAAATTCCTGATATCAAAAGATAATATTTTATATTTAATAAATTTAAACTGGAAAATCTCATTCGCCAATTTTGCTTACGTGTCATTTAAATTATTTAATTCTAAAAGAAATTAATAATCTTGAATTCAATTGGCTACCACTAAAATTTATTATCCTACATGGCGCGCTGAAAAAAAAATTAAATTTTACGTGGTTCTCTAAAAACTCGGAAAAAACTCCCATATATATATATATATATATATATATCATATTTTTAACTTTTTAATTGGCTTTTTTTACTTTGACCAAGTTAATTAGTATTACAACACCATGGTGCACCTATAAATAGGTGCACTAGACCCAATCTGCGCCCAACAAACGAAGCCCAGACAGTAATCTACGCCCAACACACATGCATTTGGTTTTTTTTTTAAATAACCGTTCTAAAATTATAAACCGCCATTTCATTTTCTTATCCATTAAAAAAAAAGCTATCTCCTCTCAAAAATTATAAACCTTCCTCAATTAATTCATTTGTATTTCTCTCTCCTCTCCCCTCTCACCATTTATTCACTCATCTTTTCAATTTTCTCTCTGTAAAAACTGCTACTCTTCCATGGCAAAAGACGAAGAACAAACGAAAATACCTTCAAAAAGGTGAACATCACTTAAACTACTTTGATTTTGCTATGATTTCGTTAAATTTGCTAAAATAATTGCCGTCTTGATTTTTTCTACTATATAATTGTTTTGATTTTTTCTTTCATTTTTATAGTTGAAAATTGAAAGTATCTACTCCTACTGAAGAGGATGAAGATGTGTAAGTAATTTATTATTGAAATTCACAATTTGATATTAAATGGGTGTAATTGAAAAATTTAACCCTAATTTTTAAAATTAAATACTAATTTGAAGCCTAATTTTTTGAACAGGACATTAAGTCAAATGTTGAATGTCAAAACACCAAAAAAGAAGAAATTAGAAGATATATCTAAGCCAAGTCCAATTGTTGATAAAAAACTATTGGAAGAATTAAACAAAGAAGTTTCAGAAAGTCCAATAAACAAGTATATATATTTTGGTTCATAAATTTCTTGTTTAATGTTCATATACGTTTTTTTGTATGAAATATAATTTATTTTTGAACAATACAAAATAAACCATTGAACATCGCTCATATATAACTAAACAGCCCAAAATTCTATATTTATGTTTGTATATTTGTTTGCATGTTCATCGATTTTCATTATGTTTGTATATTTAATTTGTTTGAATAACCCTTAAAAAACTTTTGAACAACAAAAAATAACCACTGAACATCCCCAAAAGAAAATAAAACAGCCCCCACTTCAATTTATGTTCGTATATGTTATATTTAATATTTAATTATTACATTATGTGCTGAACACCCTTAAGAAAGTTTTGAGCAAGAAAAAACTATAGGGTTTTAGTTACTTTAATGCGAAATTTTACAAATCATATTCGTTTGCACCTAAATAGGATCTACAAGCATAACACATAAGGAATCACATAATACATACCTTTGACGCATGATTTCCACAAGCGATTGACTGTCAATTAGGGAGATAATAGAGCCCCAAGCGTTGCTCCTCTACTTAGTCCACAGGATAGGATTGAACCTCCACTACTTCTAGGTAGTTGGGCACGAACACTTCGAACCACCTTCTACGGAGAGAGGAGGAGAAAATCGACCACGAACACCACCACACCACCACAGTGCGCCACTTGCACTAGGGGCCGTACAATTGTACAAATGTGAGGAAGAGAGTGAGAGAGAGATTGCGTGAAGCATTAGGGTTTGATTGCTAGCTTGTCAATTCTCAATTGACTGTTAATTGTGTTATGTCAAACCCTAGGCAAGGCCTCTATTTATACATCATATGTATAATTAGAGTCCAAACTAAGACCACAATATTCCCTCTTCAATCCCATATGGTTGGCCACTCCACGAGGCCCAATAATGGGCTTATTTCTTTTGTTCAATCCATCACCCTTTTGTGTGATTTTATAGGATCCATTCTATTGGCCTTTGGACTATTAAACTAGCCCAGATATCATTGATCACGTTTAGCAACAAATAATGATGACACAAAAGAACGAACTTAATTATCTCCATAATTGATCCATTATATATCTAGTAATTGCACTTGACGATGACATAAATCCTTCAATCTCCCGCTTGTCTGAGACAAGTGTGCAATATTCGAATTCCTTAAATCAATATGTGTCGATTTGATAATATGATTGCATCACATGTCGAGATCATATTAATCTACAAATCTTTTCTTGAAATCTGAGTTAGAATTACAAAAGAAATGATTACTAAGTAATTCATTTGAGTGCGGCCACATATTCACTGAATTCTCCCTCTTCAAGTCGCGATGACACATTCCTAATTAAATAGGTAGACTTAATCCAATCTTGTGGCAACCAAATCTCCCACTCAACTGTTGAAGTAACCATGAAACACCCTTTATAATCTCAAGTTACGGGAAGACGTTTGAATGTACCACAGTTAAATCAATCATTGAATGAAATCAATGTTCCACTCATGTCAGAGCAATTCACTATTATATCTGGAAGCTCTATACTTGAACTTTAAAGTAGGTCAATAGTTCGATAATGCATTGTAGACACCCAAATGTGTCTCCCCAAAACTAAACCTAGTGATGAATACCTTTCACATGATTTGATTATCAAACGAAGTGAAAGTGTGAAAAGTCTACTGTTTTGGATGTTTTTATTAAAATATCTTCTTTCTGTTTTTGAAAATATTTCTTTTCTTACTCTATTTATGAAAAATAGCCAGTCTAATTTAGTTTGGTCCATGATAAGGGTCCAATAATGGTTTAGTTGGATGGGGCTTGAAAAGTCCTTTCCAACGATATATTATAAGCCTAATTGCGATGAATAATGAGGAAATTCTGGCCAAAATACTAAATTGGGCTCAAATCGGATTTTACCTACGACCCAATGATCATGTGGAGGGTCCAAAGGTTTAATCCCATTCCTAAAATAATTAGGATTAATTAGAAGCTTCTATAAGTTTCTAAAATATCTTAATTATCCTTTTTGGAAAAGTTAAGATCAAAGAATTCGAAATTAAATAAAATTTCTCTTTTTGAGGGTCCTTGTTATGTGTGAAATGGAAGGTGATCAGATATTATTTTCTTGCCTCATAATATTTATCCAAATCTTATATGTTGGATGGATCTTTAAATTATCTATCCAATGATATATTATAATATTAATTCCAAGCTATAACGAAAAAAATATGAAAGGAATACAAAACTCTATCCAAAGTTGACACTCTTCCACTATTTTGGTTATATCTTTTAATCTACAAAAGATTTTAATCTGATTCTAATTGGATTGGAAATTAGACTACAAGATATTATCAACGACATATTATATGACTTATTTGGACTTCTGGATAAAAATATGATAAAAACAAAATGCGCAAAAAACTGTCCCAGCCCCAAACGACAGGTTTGTCGCCTGGCGCTAATACTTGTCGCCTGGCGCTAATATTTGTCATCTGGTGCTAAATCCTGTCGTTCGCGACAAGAGGTTTTTTATTTCTAATGGGACTTGATTTCTTTTCGATTGGTTTCCGGACTATTTTTCTATAAATAGGGTCCTTGGCCTCCGTTTTCAAATCACCAACAATCATTTAATTCTATTCTTTCTCTCTCTAAAAGCTAGAAGCTTATTCTTTCTCCCTCTTTCTAAACCTTCCCCTCTTACAAAATTCCACATTCATTAGTTCTAGACACACCTAGCCAAGTTCGAAGTTGCCTTCGCCCTAGACGTGAAAGGTTAATAATTTCTGAGGGTTTGGTCCCAAATCTCTATTTCAATTATTTAATTAATTGTTTGATTTAATATTTTCCTTGAAGTTACTGACGTGTGTATTTTGTTATTAGAAAGAGATACGAGGCATCGAAGTAAGTAATTTAATTATTTTATTGATCTTTGATATAGAAATCATGCTTAGATTATTTTGTTGATTCCTAGTATCATGTTAGGATGTTTTATTGCTTCCTAGTATCATGTTTAGGGTTAACTAATATTTGTCACATTATTATGTTTATGATGCTTCCTATTTCTTTCCTAATACCATGTTAGTATCATGCTAGGAATAAAGCTTTGATCTTTAATGTTTAGTGATATTCTAGGATTTGTTATTAATCTAGTTAGTATCATGCCTAGGATCTTGCTATCCAATTAATCTTACATGCTAGTCCATTTATTGAAATCATTAATGTCCACTTTAATGATTTCGAACTAAGAACTTAAATAATGTATGAATTCAGTTAACCTATGGGGTTTTATTGACCAGGTCATCAACCTAATGAGCCTATCAATTCATAATTATTTTGAACATTTTATTTAATTTCAAAAACCATAAATAAATAAGATTGAAACTTTGTTTCAGTTGATAAACATAATTCTGTAAGCTGATGTATTACTTATGTAATATGTTTTCTCAAAACATATACAACTTAAATTACATAACTTGTTTAAATCCAAGAACCTTAGCATGACTCTCACACCTTAGTTATGGAAGGGGTTTAGTGATTATAATTCATGAGACATTCTCATAAATATGAATTCTGCAACTTCTATATTTTAATATTAATTTTTATCTCCATACATTAAGAACTTTCTTTCATCCTTTTACTAGGAGTTAGAAATTCCTAATTGTATTCTTACGTTACATTGAATTTTGATTTAAATATATCATCACTTGTTCCTAAAACATGTGAATGATCAAAATAGACGAGTATAGGCCATGACATGCATGATGCATCCTTTGCAAAATGCATAAGGAGCATCACTTAAAACCTTAATTTCATCAACCTTTCTGAAAGCATTGAATCTTTAAGCAATGTGCCATGTTATATGGGATTGAAACTCTTTTCAATATAATGTTGAACCTCATCAGAATCTTATCAATATAAGCTTCTTAATCAAACTCAAACATCCTTCAAGACTTATCTCAATAGATCTTGACTCCCAACTGTACTGATCTTCCTCTTCATGGTTTTTCATACACAATGCTTTAACCATTACTTAACTCTTCAAGCAATGTTTGCTCTTTAGACTAGACTAAGAACACTTCATAGCTCCCCCTAAACATCTTGTATACATAACATCTTCCTTTTATGAGAACATCAAACAATTTTGATTAACTCACAAAATTAAGAATGCTAACTCCATGACGCTTTCTTTGATCCATAAATGAACTCTTATACATCTTTAGGATTATTGGATTTTCAAAACTATTTTGATTGTATCATATACAAGTCTTCTTTCATGAATCATTTCAAGAAAGTGTTTTTGAAATCCATCTACCAAATCTTATAATGTAGAAATCACTAAAATATCTTTAATAGATCTTGGCAACATGACTAATGTAAAGGTTTCATCGTAGTCATAGTCATGACTAATGTAAAAATAATAAATTACCTCCGGTAAAAAGCGAATTTTATCTCTATTTCGAGCGAACCAGCGAGTGAAAAACTAGGGCTTTTGCGTGAGGAGAATGACATTCTCCAGCGCTCAAATAAGAAATTCAAGCATCGATTAGATGATTCTGATCCGGGTAATTCGATGGATATTGAAATGATTGGTGCTGAAGGACCTCCTGATGCTAATGGGCAGAGACATGGTTCTTTTTCTCAAGTGACGAAAGGAATGGAAACTGTAGACACCTAAAAATGTCTCCCCAAAACCAAACCCGATGATGATCAACCTTTCACCGCCATTATTGGTCGGGTTGAGTATTTAATCTTGGAGTGCTTGAATCCATATTTTCATTTCATAAACCAACCCAATTCCTAGCCCATTTCCCCAAACCATAACTTATTTTTCTCTTTTCGTGCCTTTAAACCCAAAATAATTCATTTCGTGTCCTTTAAAATCATTCATTTCGTGTCCTTTTTATAAAAACGTTTAATCCAGTTTATTTTGGTCCATAATCTAGGTCCAATGATTGAATAGTTGGATGGGGCTTTAAAGAGCTTTCCAACGATATATTATAAGCCCAAATCCAAGTTATAACATATAAGTTATGGCCAAAATATTAAACTGAGCCCAAACCAAACCTAAGCCCACCTTACCTACGACCCAATGATCATGTGGAGGGTCTAAATTATTTAATCCCATTCCTAAACCAATTAGGATTAATTAGAAGCTTCTATAAGTTTCAAAAAGATTCTAATTATCCTTTTTGAAGATAAGATTAAAGAGTTTGAAATTGAATAAAACTTTTCTTTTTGAAAGTCCTATTTTCTATCCGAATTGAAAGACATTCAAAGATAGACAGATATTATTTTCGTGCCTGATAATTTTTATCCAAATTTTATATGGTTGGATAGCCCTTTAAATTATCTTTCAAATGATATATTATAATATCAATTCCGAGGTATAACGGAAAAGATATGAATAAAATGTCAAACTCTATCTAAAACTGACACCGTCTCACTATTTCGGCCATATATTTTATTATATAAAATATTTTAATCTGATTCAATTTGGGTTAGAAATTAGAATTCAAGAACTTTCCAACAATATCTTATTCATTTTATTCCGATTCCTGGATCAAAAGATATGATAAAAACAAAAACCGCAAAAACTGCTGTCTATCGAGTTTTATTCCAATTTAATTCGGATCTTATCTTAATTCTTCGACCCTTCTTTTTTTTTTTCTCAATAAATACAGGTCATATCACCCCTTTTCCAATCATCAACAATCTTGATCATCAAATCATTCTCTCTTCCTCTCTTTTACACCAAAAATCATTCTCTTCTTTCTCTCTCTCATATTCTAAGCCTTAAATCTATATTTCTAATTACACCATTCTTCCCTTAAGCACTCCAAGGAGTTCATACTTAACCCAAAGTTCTATACTTAAACCAAGGCATGAAAGGTAGAATTAACTGAGGGTATTACCAAATCAACTCTACTTTTTAATTTAATTTCCATTTGCTTTATATTTTTTTATTGAAGTTACTAACAGTTTATTCATGATGTAGCAATTTAAAGGAACGCGCGGAATGTGAGTAATTAATTAATTTAATTACTCTTATTTTATTTTCTTATTGCTAGTATCATGATTAGGTTATTTTATATTTGATTTGACTGACGCTATTATGGTTAAATTGCTTCCAATGTTAATGTTTATTTTATTATATTTATGATCACCATATTGCATGTTTAAAGGGAATATGTAATTGAAAATCACGCCTAATAAGATAATTTGGACAACCGGTTTAGATTCCTTTTTAATCTTGTTTTTTAATCAAGTGATCACAAATATATATATTATAATTATATGTTGCATTAATATTCAACCAATTTAGCCTAATAATAGTTTGGAGCAAATTGAATCTTTGTTTGCATGCCTTTGAGATCGCAGGAATCACTTTTCACTATAAGAATCGAGTAGAGGCCAATACGGGCGAATGTGACTCCATGAATCACTTTGTACCATCATCCCCGATCCTCCTTTCGTGGTTCCGAACCATATGGAGTTAGTAATCTCATGGATTATGAATGGGGTGTAACCTTCACGGGTCAATCGTTGTTGCCTGTCGTTGTCCCTTATCGTGGTTGCCTTTTATGATCCGTGAACTGTTTACAAGTTCCTTAAAAACTTGTAAGCGGCTCCCTACTTTATTTGTCCCTAATTGTATTATGTCAATTCCCACTTCCTATGAGTGCCAAGCATATTTACCACATGCTTTTAACGTAGGCGCACTTCGAGCGACGCCTACATCAACTATTGTCAATCCCTTTTACAATAATGGTATGGATGATGAGGATGTATCTGATGATGATCTTCCGGATGGTGAGACAGAAGAAGATAAGAGTCAGTGCCCTACCAATTTGTTGACTAAGGAGGAAAAGCGACGGCTACGCAAACCTTGGGAGAATACCCTAATTATCAAGCTCTTTGATAGAAAATTGGGGTATGAGGTCTTGGTTAGGAGATTGAGATCAAAATGGAGCTTGAAGGGGGATATTGCTCTAATAGATGTGGGCTGTTCATATTATATTGTCAGATTTAATAATATGGCAGATTATGATTTTGTGATGACTCAAGGACCAAGGATTATTGGAGATAGTTATTTAAATATTCGAAAATGGGTTCCAAATTTTATCCCGGATGAAGAACCTATCAAAAAATTGACTGCATGGTGAGAATTCCTAACCTATCGATAGAATACTTTGACAATGTTTTCTTGCACAAGATTGGCTCGAAAATTGGTAAAGTTATCCGCATCGATAAGCATACAGAGTTAAAGAGCAAAGGTCAATTTGTTCGTTTCAGCATTGAGGTGGATTTAACTAAGCCCCTTCTGACAAAATTCAGATTGAATGGGAGAATTTGGAAAATTCAGTACGAGGGATTGAGACTTATTTGTTTCAAGTGTGGAAAGCTAGGACATAAGGAGGATCAATGTGGAAATTTTGCTAATGAAGAAGTAGGACATCAAGGGAATTCAGATGCTAACTCAGGAGTGCATGTTAACAAAAATCATGGTAAAGAGAAGCATCCAAAAATCCATGAATCATATGGAGCTTGGATGATTGTACAGAGGTCTACAAGAAAATCGAGCCAAAGTAATGGAAAAGGACCTGCTTTAAAGCATAATGCCCCATGTAGGGAATAGTTTCAAGCCTTTAAAATCCCACTAGCTTGAACCCCACTGTGATCATACACTAAAGTACGGTGGCGACCAAAAGGGAAGAAGATAGAGCAAAAGAGTCGCCAACAAGTTTTTAAGGAACTTGTAAACCGTTCATGAGGTGAAGATTACACCCCTTAATGATCCAAGAGATCGTCAACTCCATAAGGTCATGAACCAAATAAGGGTTCGGGGATGATGGTACAAATCTAACCTAAAAGAGATTGAACCTGCCCTAATAATAGGCCTCTACTTTATTCAGCTCGTATTCATGTGCGCTTTCTGACTAACATACAATCAATAGATTAACCCTAAACCTGTTTAATCTATGTTGGTTGAATTTAATGCACAAATAAACTATTATTGGCAATCACTTGAATTATAATCACAATTAATCCTAACAAGATTATTAGTTATCTTATTAAGCGTGATTGCAAGTACGAATTCCCTTTAACATTCAATAAAAGGTGATCAAGCAATAATAATATGCATATCAAGAAACATAATAAATAATCAACATCATTAATAATAATAATATCAATCATAATCATAATCATGTTAAAGCATAGCAAGATCCTAGGCATGATACTAACAAGATTAATAACAAATCCTAGCATGTCACTAATCAATAAAAATCAAATCTTTAGCCCTAACATGATACTAACAATCATAAATATTAGGAAGAACATAGGAAGCATCGTACTTTTAATCATACTTAATATTAAAGATACCCTAGACATGATACTAGGAATCAAAATAACAATCTAAGCATGATTTCTACATCATAATATCAATTAATCAATTAAAGCACTTACTTGGATGCTTCGTACCTCTTTCTAATAACAAAATACACACGTTAGTAACTTCAAGGAAAATAATAATCAAAACAAATAATCAAATTAAATAATTTAAAGAGAGATTTGGGACCAAACCCTCAGAAATTAAACCTTTCACGTCTAGGGCGAAGGCAACTTCGAATATGGCTAGGTGTATCTAGATCTTGTGAATGCGGAATTTTGTATGAAAACCAAAGTTTAGAAAAGAGAGAGTGAATGTATGAAAGTTGATGAAAAGAGATGAATGAAAAGGATTATTTGACTGTAGATGAATGCTAATTGATGAATAAATTGTGAATAAAGAAAGTTGATGATCGATGATGCCTGTTGATGAATGATGAAGATAGTTGGTGAAAACTTAAGAATAAAGAGAATTGGTGGATGATAGATGTAGATCATCAATGAAAACGGAGTTTTTGATACGATATTTATAGAGAAAATCATCCAAAATTGATAATTTATCAAAACAGAGTCTGAAGATCGCAGAAACACATTGGCGCCAGCCCTGGCTCATTGGCGCCAGGACCAGTGGCTAGCGCCAGGCGCCAATGGCTGGCGTCTGGCGCCAATCCTGATTCCAGGCGCCAAGGCCTGGGGTTGGACGCCAAATCGGCTTTCAACGCGTTTTCGAAAATCTAATAATTTTCCTGTACTAGAAGATAAAATAATATAATTTCAATCGAAAATGCTATTTGATCTAAATAAAACTCTGAAGAATCCTAATTGAATTAAGAATGAAAAGAACCTTCTAGAATGTTCTAGAAGACTAAAACCATTCCTAATTACATTAGGAATGATAAATCATATTAGGCCCTCCCCTAGATCATTGGGCCGTACTTAAAACTCAAACCGAGCCCAGTTTAGTAAATTGGCCATAACTTCCTCAATATTCATCGGAATTGGGCTTATAATATATCGTTGGAAAGGTCTTTGCAAACCCCATCCAACTACACCACTATTGGACCCATATCATGGACCAACCAAACTGGATTGGCTGTTTTCTTAAAATAAAGTTTTCAAAAACAGAGAGAAGAGAAAAGAAAAGAAATAAAACTTTCCGCAACACTAGACCTTTCCACACTTTCGTTTCATTCGATTATGATTCGACGTGAAAGGCACTCATCACTGGGTTTGGTTTTGGGGAGACACAAATGGGTGTCTACAGAAGCCCCCACTTTGACTGAGTTTGGAGAAACGCAAGTTTCGAAAACGAAAGCCAAAGTATCGATAGGGACGGAGAATGAATCAGAACGTTCTGCAATCCTAAATCAATCTTGTAACGCCGATACCTGCAAAACAATGTTAGTTAAACAGATAAAAGAGTTAAGAAACGCGTATCTTGCACCGTTGAGCACACGTCTCTAAAAGTAACCGATTGTTTCTGCTTTATTGTTTTTGATGACCTCCTGCAAGCTAGAGAATGCCATCCCGCTTGAAAACCGCTACGCCCGTAACTGCTTCCAAATTAGAAGATTGCTTCGCTCGAAACTATCCCCTCCGCATTGATAATATTCCACGTCCAAGGAAATACCATCAAAGATTATTTCTCTTGAAACAATCCTCAGTTTTTTTATGACAACCCTCCACAATCTAGGGAACGCCATCTTGCTGTTTGTTTTGACGATCTTCCACAATCTAGGGAACGCCGTCGATCAATGTTGCTACATCTTGAGCCTTTTCTTGAATCATAGTGACAACCTTTCCAATCATAGCAAAAGTCGTCGAAGACTGCCCATCTCGTGCTATCTTCTCAAATCTTGGGTGACAACCTCCACAATCTTAGCGAATGCCGTCGAAGACCGCCCATCTCGTGCTATCTTCTCAAATCTTGGGTGACAACCTCCACAATCTTAGCGAATGCCGTCGAAGACCGCCCATCTCGTGCTATCTTCTCAAATCTTGGGTGACAACCTCCACAATCTTAGCGAATGCCGTCGAAGACCGCCCATCTCGTGCTATCTTCTCAAATCTTTGGTGACAACCTCCACAATCTTAGCGAATGCCGTCGAAAATAACTTTAATTGAAGTCATCCTCAATTGTTGCGATAATATTCCAAAGAAAATTACCGAAGACCAACACTTGTCGATCTTTAAAGCTTGCTCGAACTTTGCTTCCGCTATGCCTGTACGTCGGCGCTTTCGTTGCTTTGAACCTATATGTCGGTGCCTTTTCTGCTTTTGAGCCAATGCCTAGGCGCTTTAAGCTAAGTGAGATGATCTTTCATCAGGTCGATCACTTATTTACTTTTGGAGAGGCTTCAAACTCTATCGCTGCTGAAATATCTCTGGCGCCAAGAATTGACTCTGTCGCCGAACACTGTGATAGGGTCTCCCCTGTTCTGCTGCACCTGTATTTATTTTGACTATAGAACTTTGCCAATTTCTTTAATTATCTTAGGGTTGACCTAAGGTTTAACGTTGCTTGACTCATTGACTAGACACGACTCAAGGTATAAACTTGACTCGGTGATTGACTGACTCGAGGTTGACTCGACTCGAAGTGTAATGACACATGTGTTAGACTCAAATCAAAGTGATATGGCACGACATGACACTATGTGTACATGACTCGTGTGTGCATTGTAATGTGATCGTACGACTCGAAAAACGCAAAAAAGCAAAAATTTTCCGTCAATTTTGTGGAGGGTACCGACTTTCTCCCGAAAAAGAAAGACGCGAAAAAGAAAATCAAAAGTTTGAAGATGCATGTTGAATGAGCTTAGTCAAATGTCATTTGATAACTTAGGCACGGAGGCTAAGCACTTCATACTTTGATGCAATGATGATTATGATTGATGAGTGATGTGACAAGGCATGCTTCAGCGTTATGTTAAGATTTCATGACAAAAGGGTTCCTAAGGGAAGTATATTTGGTCATGTATCTGTGCAGTGTGTGATAGTGACACTAAAGCTAGGCCACAAGAGCTAAATGTGTGGAAAAATATATTGAAAAGAGTCAAATGGTGGTGACTCTTAGGCTAGGTAAGCTAATGATATAAGGATCAAGCCCCCAAGTCTAGCTCTAAACGAATAGGGATGAGCATAGGGAATTCCTTGATATGATCATGGTGTAAGTGTGTGAATGTGAATATGAATGCATGTTTATTACGGCCGCACCTCGATGTGAGTTTGCCTACGTATCCGTTAGGAATCAGGCCAAACGTAGCTCTAGCCAAACCTCGCACAAGTGTGTGTATACCTCAAAAGGGTCTTTTTAAGGGTTGTAACGTGGTTAGACTAAAGGTTTAAAGAAGAAAGGGATAAAGGCTCAAGACCCCAGACAAGCCCCCAAGGTGTGCAACCTCGCTTTCGAATCTTTATATTTTTATGCTTGAGTTTCTACTCTTTTTTAGCTCTTTGTGCTTTAGCATTTATTTTATTTTTATAAGTGTGGGCAATCTCGATCATGCGGTCTATCACTCACTTGGCATTCATGTTTCCTAGGCACGGTACCGAGCACTCGATAAGAGACGCAATCTGAGACGTGTTCTTATCGAAGATATTTTCATATCAAAGACATTGGAACACTTGCCCTTTTGTACACTTATTTTCGTTTTTTATTATTGCTTATTTTTTGCTATTGCTTCCTTTTGAATTTGCTCAAGCTCTCTTTAGAATTTCATAAGTTGCACGCCATCCCATCCCAAGGTTAGGTAGATGTAGGTTGAAAAAAAGAAAGGTCTATCGTTAGACGAGGCTCAAAGTGGTTTATGAAGAAAGGATTGCATATTTGAAAAGTGAAAGGACATATGATGTGGCTACAAGGGGTGCCTTAAATCATTGGTATACCTTGTGCTTAATTCGACATGGATTTTTTTTTTTTTTGAATGCAATGTAATGAAATGATCATATGCAAGGAAATAAATGCTCATTTTAAAAAGGGAAAAAGGAAAAATCTACAAAATTAATCTAAAAGAAAATAAAAGGTGCCTATGCTAGACTTATTGGGGAAGGGGTAAAATGAAAAAGAAATAGAAAAAGAGGTCATAAAATCTTGTCGTTGAAGCTCGCCTCTTGTCTTGTGTTGTTTCCTTTATCATCACTCGCTCTTCTTGTTAACTGGAGGCATGGGAAGCTTGTTATTATCAATCAAATGTTGGATAGCCTCCTTTAGCTTCCAACAGCTCTCAGTAGTATGACTCCTACCTT